TGAAAGTGCTCCCTCCTGTGATATCTCTGCTTCTTTGCATGACTCCTTTTCTCCCCAGGGCCCATTCCATAACTGCCCCTTTGCTCTTCCTGCTGTCATAAGACTCCTCCCCTGGGCCCCTAAACCTAATTGTGAGCTTCATGAAGGGCTCACTTGCCCTTCACTGCACTTAATGTTCAAACACTCCAGAGGGGAAGGTGGCTGGAACGCATCAAGAACTGGTGTACACGTACAACCCAAGTGCAGAGTGGAAAGCACGGCCCAAGGAGACAGCACACCTTGATATTGTTTGCCATTTGTCATGTGAAAATGCCATGCACTCTACGTGGATCACCTAATTTATTAAGGAAAAAGATCAATTCTTTTATTTTCTTGTGTCACAATATTAAAGTCCATTTATTGTTAAAAGTTATTTAGAAGGAAAAATACACAATCAATTTCTCTCCTTTGCTAGTTTGCAATCTCTAACATTAACCGATGACTTTCCAATTATTTTCCACTCTCTTGACCCATGTCCTTGGGAACATAGTCAGAATTCTAAACTGTATAGCTCATACACACACTGCAAGTTCAACACGCTCATCTCTGAGCTGAGTGGAATCTGGAAAGTCCTGTTTCTCATCTCTTCCTGAAATCTGCTTATTGAAGACATGTCTGCAATCTCTTATAGCCATCACTATTTGCATGTCAATGATAAGGTCTAGAGACAATCATTCAGCTAAATTCAGCTCTCTGAATGGCTTATGTGCAATTAGGACATTTCATGTGTGTTGAGCAGTCCACACATAACAAGACATAGTATTAGTGGGTGTAGGAAGAATGATCATAAGTAGCATCTATATTTCCTTTACTTTATTAGGCTTGGTAGTAAGAATTTAACATAAATTAACTTCCAGAATCTCATAATAGAAAAATCATCTGTATCACCCTGTCTCACAGAAGAGGATATACAGAATCAACTTGGGAAGTTGATATAGAATCTTGGTAATATACATGGGTTTGCGATTCAAATTAAGGAACTGACTGAAGAACCCAGTGAACTATGCTTAAGGGCCGTTTGAAACTACACCAAATTGTTGAATGTGAGTTTCAAAAAGTTTTGAAAACCTTTAAGGAGAAATCTGTCACAAATAATAAACTTCCTTCCAAAATGCTCCTGTGAAATCATATTTCAGAGCAACTTAGACTAGTCACTCTCCATCTTATGGGGACATCGGACTGAAATCTGCAATCTTGGTGTGTGCAGTGTCAGCTCCTCCTTCAGGTCATAGAGCCTCTCTCCACCTCTGTCCCATCCCAGAGTGTGTAATTAGGCAAGCGCTACAGGACCTTACCTATCCCAAGACAGAAGAGGTAAATATCCGGTGCTTCAGGAGAAGGGGTGGGTACTCACTTGCCACTTTGCAGAAGGTAGAACAGTGGGTGTCAGGGTCTGATGTGATGTAGGGAGAACGGGAGGCATCGATCCCAGGGCCAAGTGCTTCGTGCAGACGTGTGAGACAAACTGTTGCCATCTATTATACTGCCTGGTAATAATAGCAAATAATGTAAGGTAGATTTTAAAATTGCTAAGAGAGTATATTTTAAATATTTGAGTCACAACAATAATGATATGTAAGATCTATTAGTTAGCTTTAATCACATCATATATGTGTAAATATATATATATCACATTGTGCTTTATAAAAACAGTATATATATAATTCTATTTAATATATAATTTGTATTTAGAAATGTAAATGTGGGAAAAGGAGGTCATATCCTTTTCTTTGAGATTCCGTGGTATAATAATGATATGTATTTGAAGCTTACCTATAAAATGCAAAGAAAAAAACTTATTAATGATCAAAATTCACACAGAAGAAAATAGATGTGAGAGTTGGAGGAAAGAAAGATACTTCTGCTGATATTATTTGACCTCCCATTTTCAGCCATGCCTGCACCTTGAAAACACTACAATTTTTTCTTGAGATTGTATATTTTTGTTTTTTGTTTTTTGTTTTTAACTAAGTCAAATTGGAATTCTATCAATTTCACCTGAGAGAAGCTTAACAATTATACTTTGTAAAAAAAAAAAAATAGGTGTTTATGTGATAGGTGTTTATAAATAGGTTATATATCAAATAGCCTGACTTTTATATTGCTGTACAATTAAATCAATAACAGGTTGCTAAACATTGCTGGTAGTTAATGCCCCTACTGAAAATATTGTAAGACACACAGCTTGGGTTGCAGCCTCGGTGGCCCCCAACCTCACAATATTTCTCTCTATAGAACTTTGGGTAGGAAGGAGAAGGAGTGAACCAGGAAGAGACAGTGGATAATCCTCGCTGATAACATCAGAACAATTTAAATTGCCCAACCAATTTTCCACCAGGCTCCACTGGCATGCCTCTTTAATGTGCAAGACAAAAAGAGCAAGAATAAACAACTTGCAAAAGAGAAATTACTCAACCACTAATAAATTCAAAACAAATCAAGTTGTCATTTCCCAGCTATGAAACTTGTAAAAAAAAAATGTGTAGCCGTCTTGATGCTGGTCACACAATGTTTTGCAGGGCTTCCTTTCTAGGTACGCGGCAGAGTTACACTTCCTAAGCAGTGACTGCCGGGGTAAAGCCCTGTGACTACAGGCAGCTCTGTGTGAGGGTCCAGGAACGTGAGTCATAGTTTTCATTTCTGGACCAGAACACTTAATACCCCATGCAAAACTTTTCACGCTTTCCTGTATGTGCAGATGTGCAGGGAGTGCAGATGAGGATAACACAAGCAGAGTGCCTAGCCCCGCTCACAGGTTACGGAGTCTGAACAAGATATACACTGAGGTTGTTTTTCATTTCTAAAATTTGGGGGTTGCTTGTTACTGTGATGGTGTAAGCGGTCCTGACTGATATAAAATGTAAAAAGCAACAGCAGCTTGTTTCAACAAGGCAAATTAGAATTGCACATGTATGGTATGTATATATTGTTTGACAGGATAAATTTTTTTTTGTGTACCAGGAATCAAACTCATGACCTCACACTTGCCAGGCAGGTTCTCTGCTGCTGAGCTGTATCCCCAGCAAGTGCCAAGATAAATTAAGGAAAAATTTTTGGAGAATATTTTGGTAGCATGCCATAACAGTTCATTAAATTATTTATTTTCCTCCTGGTAATAGATTCTAATATAAAAAGGGAAAAAAGAAAAGGAACAGGAAAAAGAAATGTTAGTATTGATTCCTTATATTTTATTTTCCAGGGATACCTGAGACCATTTTCTTTCTCCAAGTTCCATTGTACTGTAAGGGAAGCCACTCTAAGTTCAGGCCTTTGGTTACAAGTTTTGTCTCCACCTATTACTGGTTGTCATCTGTTATCCCTACCGTTTTCAGTATCCTTGCCTAAAAAAAGGACCTCCAATTTTATGAAAATAAACTGAACAGAATAAACATCACTTGTTAGCAATTAGTATAATCATCACTGTGTATGACCTTGCCCTAGTCTACATGCCCTGTCCCAATTTATATATTCATTATGGATGCTTTATTAATATTAATACACTCTAAATTCATTTTAATTCTTTTCAATAATTTATGGAATAAAGCAGCAGAATATTGCTGAGAATGTCATAGAAAAAAGCAGAATAGTATGAGAAATTCATTTCTTCCTTGTTCAAATCAGGGACTAAATTGCATTAAAATGTCACCTGTATTACTAACAAAAGATATTGGAGATTTTGACTTATATATTGGGCAGCGTGAACTTGTTAAGACCTTATGCTTGAAAGGAACAAATTTGTCCCCTGCCTCTGTGGTCATAGTTACAGTCAGGAAGCTGCAGACTCGTCACACTGGGGCAGAGTCCTGAAATGGCACAAAGCAAGCAACAAACTGCTCCTTCTCCTGGCAGACAGTTCAAGAAGAAGAAAGAGTAAGGGGCCGCACGTCCCAAGCGCACTAACCAGGTAAGTGCTCTCCAAGAGAAGGTGGGAAGCCCAGCTGGATGGAGGTGGGCCTGACCCCGGGGAGACTCTCTCCACAGTTACTGTACATCCTCACACCTAACCTCCCGCAGTAACCTCAGTAACCTGGCATTTTCTTAAATTACTGGAATGTACATGGTAGTTCATTCACTTTGATACTTTCAAAAAGTTAAAAGATTTTGGCCGGGGATATAGTTCAGTGGCACAAGTGCCTGCCTGGCGAGAGCAAGGTCCTGAGTTCAATTCCTGGTACCAAAAATTAAAAAAAAAAAAAAGAGTTAAAGATTTTAACCTGATTCTCAGATTAGTCTGTTTTCTTCTCTACCTTACATATGGCTCTCACCAATGGCAAGCTTTCAGTAACTAATTTACTTTTCATTCCCTCTCTGTCTCTGTCTCTCTGTCTCTCTGTCTCTCCTTTCTCTTTACCTATACACTACTCCCACCGCAGGTCTGGCCACGCATTTTCCAGCATGCTCTTTTGATCCCTGGGATAAGCACATGAAGATTGGTTGTGTTCAAAAGCATCCATAATCGCTCATAATTGTTAGATAATTCCACCAAAACCGTAACAAACCTGGCCCGTATGTAATGTTCTGCTTAGTTCACCTTGAATGCACTTCTCTTTTCCCTTAAAGTCCCAATTTCCTCATTTTCCAAGCACCTTCCCTCAAGACACAGGCTTTTCCCCTGCCGACGCTCCACTAATAATAGCCTCGTCACCTCTAACTGCCATTCGGCTACTCTTTGAAGAGTTTAAGCTGCTCTTTCCCCCTTGAATCTGTTCAGACTTTTTCTAACTATTTTGTGTGGCTGCCCAGTCTTCCAGGGGTGTTTCATCATTTGTCTTCTGTGTGTGGTTGGAGGGCATGGGTTCTAAGACCCACTTTTTCCTAGGGGCTGGGGGTTGGCACAAAGGACATCAGCGACAAAGGCCAGCCACAAATCTGCCTAAACTTTCACAGACCTCACTCCTTCTTCACGGGTCTAATCCAGCTCCCCACAGGACCCTCATCACATTAAAAGAAAAGAATGATTTGAAAACTTACCAGTTTGAGCTTTGGAGCATTTCATTGGATTAGCAGATGGTAAGCAACTAGATGAGAAGCAAATTAGATAAAAAGTGGATTTAGCAATTATGGGAGCTTTGTGTAGTTTGTGTGTGTGCAGGTTTTTTTTTTTTCATTTGATTCTCATAAATGCACTCTTCATTTGTTTGTAAAATCTAGAGCATTTAGATTTCAAGAATAATAGAAGATGCTCTGTAATTTATACTAGCTGTTTCAATTAAAAACTTTTTTATGTAGCAAACATAGCATATTGAGTTCATCTTTTGAAATGAGGTGATAAATACATTATGTTAATATTTATTTTGGAATGTGAAATATTTTCTAATAAAAACAGTGAGCTATTTTTTAAAACTCCAAACTTGGACTCACCCAAGCACCAAAATGATAGCTTTTGAAAAGGTTATAGTGTCTGCTATATTTCAAGTGCATCCTCCAAACGTCGTAAGATTGGAGCCCTCATGAGTGGATTAACGTTTTTTGTAAAAAATGGTGTTGATTTTCACAGTAGTGAGTTCTGGGTCTCAGAGGACTGGATTAGTTATTCCAAGTGTGTTGGTATGAAGTGAGATTGTCCTTCCTGCGTGCTCTGTCGCTCTCACAGGGATCCCTGCCCTCTATTATCTGCCAGAAGATGACACAGCTGGAGGTCCCTCCTCAGGAGCCGAGCAGATGTTGGAACCAAGCTCTTGGGACCCCAGTCCCCAGAACCAGGAGGTAAATACATTTTTCTCCTTTCCTAATGACCAAGTCTTAAGTATCTCAAAAAACAGACTAGACAATACCCTTCTCCTCTCTCCAGTTCAGAAATGATTGAGAAACGAACACAGAGGTCAGATGAAGCTTACGTCATGTTGGCCACCTTGAAAAGGTTTGGAGAAGGCTGCTGATCCCCCGAATCAACCCTGTCACCCAGGTCCTGGCATCCCAGGCACCTGCAGAAGCAGCGCTCTCACCATCATCCAAGGCAGACCCAACAACACCCTCTCTGCAGTCGGGAAGATCTAAATATTTGGACACGAGGGCTAAAATGAGTAGAGGGGCAGGGAGGGAGATTTGGGCATTCTTGAAATGCCATATTTCTTTGTCTGTGGTAATTCCATTAGTTTAAAATATGCGAAACTCCATCTAGTTACACACTTTTGGTTTGTGTATCTCTCCACATTTGTTAGTGCCCCAGTAGCATGCTGGCTGCAGTATGGCTTATACAACTGAGATTTATTTCCCCACAGCTCTGGAGGCCGGAAGCCCAAGGTCAGATGGGAGCAAATGTGGCTCCTCCTCAGTCCCCTGGCTACCTGCTGGCTGTAACTCCCCACGGCCTTCTTCCCATGTGCTTACAGTCCTGGTGTCTGCCATTACTCTGGTGAGATCAGCAGTCATATTGGGTCAGGGCCTCACCCTGTAGTCTCCTTCAACCCTACTTACCTTCTTGATGGTCCGTCTCTAAATACAGTACCTTTGGGGGCTAAGGGTCCAACATACAAAGTGGGGGAGAGGGAAGGACTCTACCAGCATTTGTGTGCTACAATTTACTTTTTGTGTTCTTTATTAGTCCATGACTGTAGTACATAATGTTTGCATTCCTTGTGCGGCACTGGTCCCTGTACACAACGCATCCCAATTCCTTTCGCACCTGGAGTAATAGGAAGGCGGGAAACAGCTATCTCGCTCCTTGCTATTATTATCTTCTACTTTGGTTTTTATTTATAGTGTGGGTTTCTCATATAAGAGAAACCATGTGCTATTTAAGGTCGTGCATCTGATTTATTTCACTTAATATTATGGTCTCAAGGTGCACCCATTTTCTTACAAATGACTCAAGTGTATTATTTATTATGGCAAAGTAATTAGTATTCTATGGTGTATAAACACCACATTTTCTTTACACATTCATCTTTTGGTGGACATATAGGCCACTTCCAAGATTTGGCTGTTATGAATTGTGCTGCTATAAATACGGTTATATCTTAATAACAAAAGGACAAATGAATATAACCTGGGAACATCTTAATATAAACAAACAGATTGAACTTACTATAAAATGCCAGTAGGACATACCCGTCTTTTAAAGGAAAAACAGGTTGGTAGGGTAAAGAATGCGTGAGAACGGAAAGCCTTTGTAAAAGAAAGGCAATAGGGGAGGGACAAAGGAGGGCCTGTGAGAAAAAAAGATCCGAAAGTGAGGATAGTTTCCTTCTTCACGTGTGTCCTTCCAGTGAGAGAAGGAGGGAGAAGGTTGGGAAGCAGTACAGGCGTGTAGGGAGGGATGGGGTAGACAGGGAGGGTTGCTAGGCGGGAGATGAGAGGGAAGGAAACTGGGAGGGAGATAGGAAGGGGAGAAAGGAGGACAAAGAGGCGAGGCGGAGGGGATAATGCAATACCACAGCGCGAAAGGCCACTGGCTGGCTAAATGTTTAAGTCAGGAAACTCTGGAGGCTGAATGCTTGTGTTTAGCACCCCAGCTCTGCCCCTTAAGAGCTATGGGACCATGGAAAAACCACTTAATCTCTCCTTGTCTCGGTTTCTTAATCTGTCCAAAGTGAAAAATACTACTTCATTATCTGATCATTTTCAGAACCAAATAATCTCATACATGGACAGCTTGGCATATGTTTAAGGCAAGTGTGATACAAATGTCTGATGCTGTTATCACTCGTGTTTAAGACTTGCACGTGGCATTGGAGGTAAAAACAAAAACTGAGTGCTGGCATGCAGGGGACCAGGGGACACGCACAGCTTGGGGACAGTGCGTTCCTACTGACGCTCCAGCTGGGCTTTATGCGCATCCGGACAGCAGCCCCAAACAGAGGCCCCTGGAGAGGTGTCTCTGCTCACCTCTACTGAGGTGATGGGCCCGCACACTGTAGTCCTCATGTGATTTTATTTAAGCCTGGTATCTCCCCACGTAGACCTAGTTTCTCATTTAGGAAATGCTGAGATCCTGCCTTTGCCTGATAAGGCTAAGCAAAATGTCTGCAATCCTCAAATACAATTTTTCTATATGGATTATCTCACTTGCTGTTTTCACTGAAGGAGCCAAAAAAAAAAAAAAAATCCAGTCAAGATCTTTTATTCGCTTCTACTTCTCTGTGCTAAAGGTTGAGACCACACTACCTCTGAGGAATGACCAACGTTTCTGAAATGAATGACAGACATTTTCGCTCCCTTTTTCTGTGGCCACATCCTCCTGGCCAGTGCCCGGTTCCAGGGGTGACCGTGCCGCAGAGACCAGGAGCTGGTGACCCCCAGGGAATGCTGGCAGTGTGCCTTCATCACAAGTTGTTAACCCTGAATTGCATAGCATCGCCCACTTAAAATACCACAACTGGTGTTATTACCACGAGGCGGAGGAATGTTTTCCTGGCACAGATGTTTAATAGCTTTTATAAGAGGATGTGGTCCTGCAGGAGGGGCCGAGTGTGTGGCTTCATCCACTGCGACTGGGAGACAGGATGTGGTTGAGCACGGATGGGGGTTGCAGTGAGTCAGCGTGGGAGACGTTTCCATGGTGACCTTGCCCACTCAGTCAGCGTGCAGCTTCCCGGGCCCATGAGGATTAATGACATGGCATTAATGCTGATAATCATAATGAAGAGAGCTGTCTAAGTGGAGCAGCCAGCCCTGATGTTTGGGAGGAAATAGGGTGGAAGAAATTAGCCAGTGGGTTGGGGAAGAAAATATTGAACTGTGGGGAGAGGAAATCCATTTCTTCTTTCTTTTATAGAGCAATGTTCCTGCTGCTGGCAGGCCTCTGTAGCCTTCCCTTTGGGAATTCTCTTCGTATCATGACAGAGTAAGTGCAGAAAAAAATAGCCCGAAGAAGTGATTCACTGCGGATCAAAACAACCAGCATGAGGGGATACAGAGCCACACGGGCTTAAACTGTCCTCATTGGTTCTATTCTATTTGTTTATTTAAATACCTTCAAATGTTCCCTAGGAAATCCTTTCACAGACAGTCTTTTTAGTGAGGCTTACCTCTTTCTATAGCTTCATGACACTGCTTTGTCCCTTTAGGGAAAAAAGCACATTCTTTTCACATTGAGTTAATAGCAACATTTTATTTTAGTGTACAGAAATGTGGCGCATTGTGCACAATGATAAAGGGAAACGTTAGAAGCCCACAGTCTGACTCAGATGCCAACCTGGGTAAAATTATAGACACAAAGAGAGATTGCTGCACTTTCCCAGAGCAGGACACAGGTCCTCTCAGATGCACAGAGGACCAAGCGTACGGTTTAGTTATTTGCATGGTTATCTCCTTTATTAAATTTCAAGATCCCACGGAGCACAAACTTCATCTTACTCATCTTTGTTGCCCATTTTATCCCACACACATGCACACACACACACAAATATCCGCAGACACACAGACGTACCCTCACAAACACAAATGCTGATCTCACGTGCTGCTTTGTACCCCGTACACTACATTACTACAGAGTTACTGAATGAGTCCATTTGATCAACATTGTAAAACCTTGAGTGAGGCAATTAGGCACTTGTAGGTGATGTTTAGAAATCCATACAGTCAAATTACAATGGTTTTTAAGGCTATGCAACACTGTTTTGCCTTTTTTTAAGCATTTAGACAAGTGGATTTGACACAAATACAATAAAGTCTGCAAGGCGGTAGATGAAAAAAAATGTGTGAAAAGATCTAGAGACTCTCCAAGCAGCTGGACTACTCCGATTGATTAAATGCTGTCTGCAGAATGCTGATGGCTGGACTTAGCGTGGCATCTCTTAATCCATCAAATATTTATTGAGTACCTACCTTAATAGCTATTTGCTCCGTGCCAAGGAATGGCTTGAGTGCTTATGCATATTAACTTATTTAATCTCCTGTAAGAGGTAAACACTGTTATTAAAATACCTATTTTTCAGACAAGTAAACTAAAGCAGAAGTAATTTAATAACCTGGCAAAAATTCACAAAGACAGTAAGGAGTAGAACTGTAAGCCGAACCCAGCAATCTGGCTCCTGATCCCAAGCTCTTAAATGTTGTGTGACAGTGCCAATGGCTGAGCTGAGAACTGGGCATAGGACAAGAATCAAGGGGTGCCAGCATTTTTGTTTTCATAAAGCCTAGAGTTTCAAGGCATGGCATGCTGAAAAGCAAGCACTATAACTGTGAACAAAGAGCCCTAAAGACAGACAGGTCAACACACACCACGCTCCCCTAAAGATCGAGAGGCTGGTCATAGTCAGAAAAAGATACAGCAAGTGCAAGAGGTGAGTCCCATTTTCCAGCTGACCTTGTTTCCCAGTGGCCTTTGCTGATTAGGGGTGAAAGGTCAGGACAGAGATGTTGAGTCACACTGAGGAGGGAAGCTTTCCAAGCACTTCCTGAGGTCAGTCTGTGACTGTTGAGAGACACACCTGTGCTAGTGGTATCACAGAGTGGAAAGTTAGCTGACTAGACAGAGACCGACACACCAGGCAGAAGCTGTAACCGTGGAGTTTGGGAGGGACAGTATATTTCCATGAATCCAGAAGTGTGGACATGGACATTCGAGAGACCAGGACAGTTAATAGTGGATACTGGTGAGCTCTGTTAGTTAGAGTACCGTGGAGGTTAGAAACTTTGGGGAATGAGGCACCTACTAAAAGTGTCCCTCTGGGCAGGTGTGGTGACACACAATTGTAATCCTAACACTCTGGGAAGCTGAGGCAGGAAGATCACATGTTTGAGCCTATTGTAGACAACTTAGCCTGTGCCTATCTCAAAATTAAAAAAATTAAAGAGCTGGAGATGTAGCAAAGGGGGAAGGCCCTGGTTTCAATCCCCAGTACCACTCTTTAAAAAAGGCCCCTCCACAAGTCAGCCCAAATCTTAACCATTCACTAAACATATTTATTTATTAGAATAACAGTTAATACATACTGAGAACCTCTGTGTACCAAGTTTTATGACAAGACTAGGGCAGGGCATGGTAATATTATCATTATGACATATGGAAGTTTAAACTCTCCCTCTGAAGTTTCAACATTTAATTCTGCTGAA